TCCCTCGCTCTCGCCTCCCCTCGCCTCCCTCGCTGTCGCCTCCCCTCGCCTCCCTCCCCTCGGTCTCGCCTCCCTCCCCTCGGTCTCGCCTCCCTCGCTCTCGCCTCCCCTCGCTCTCTCGCTCCGTCGCTCTCTCGCTCTGTCGCTCTCGCCTCTCTCCCCTCGGTCTCGCTCCGTCACTCTCTCGCTGGCTCGCTCCGTCGCTCTCTCGGTCTCCAAAATCTCCTGCGAGTGCGTCGCCTCTGGAGGGAAGAGCAAGCGGTGGTGGTGCGTCAATGGTGGCGGCGGTGATAGTGGTGGTGGTGGTGGTGGTCAGATTAGGGTTTTTCTGATGTTGATGGTGGTGGTGCGAATCTGAGATTAGGGTCAGATTGGGGTAAAATTAGGGTCAGATTAGGGTTTTTCGAATCTGAGATTTTGTTTTACTTGCTTCTTTGAATCTGAGATTGGGGTAAAATTAGGGTCAGATCTGATGTTGCCTGTGTTAATTTTCCTGTGTTAATTTGCTCGAGGCACCAAAATTAAATTCCTGTGTTAATTTGCCATCATTTTCAAAGCAAGCTAATGTGTTCAGATCTACAAAAGGGGTGAGGGTTTTGCTTAATCGAGTTCTCTCCTTCTCCAAAAAGACCCTACTGATAATGCATAACGAAAAAAAAATAAAAAAAAAGACCCTACTGCCTCGGTTTAGCCTCCAACCGAGGCAGTAGAAGGAGAGAACAATCTCGGTTCTGATAACCGAGACCGAATCGTACCATTTTTTGTCTCGTTCCAGAATCGAGGCATAAAGTTTATCACTTTTTACCTCGTCTGAATATGCCTCGATTCAGAAACCGGTGCCTATCAGCGAATTTAACCGGTGCCATTTCCTTTAAATGTACTGGTGCTTCTTCCTCAACTTTCAACCTTAGTCTCAAAAGTACATTCGTTTTTGTTTATATGTCTTCAGTTATATTTGTTTATAAATGTTTTAGCACATTGTAGACGAAAATAGAAATTGGAAATGTAAGGTACAGGGTTACAGATTTGGCTAAATAGGATTCATTGAAATTTTAAAATCTCATTTTAGGTTTTATCAAATTTTAAAATATGAGTTTCATTAAATTTTAAAATTTGATTGGAATATTAACGAATTTACGGTGTTAATCGATTTAAAAATTTATTTAAGAGTTTGAACGAATTTTGAAATTTATATGAAGATATATATATATATATATATATATATATATATATATATATATATNATATATATATATATATATATATATATATCGGGCTAAGAATTTTTGACAAAGTGAAGCCGAAAGGAGACTTATGACATTTCTTTGTAGAAGGGGTTATCTACAACATTGTCTCGTCATGATTTTTATGAGTAGCTAGTAGATGTTATTAAGGAGTAACTGTTGAGCAGCACAAGCATGTTGTTAAATAAAAATATAAAATAGATGGATTGTCTAGAGGTCCACAAAATACATTATTATTGGACGAGTTATATCGATCATTTTGCATTTGTGTTGTGATAAGGTCAGGTTAATAGTTGTTGAATATATTTTCTGAATTTTGATGCTTGATGAGTTGTTTGAACTTTATATCTAATTGTTTTGTTTAAGACTGAGGGGAGATCACGTTGGTCTCCCATGGAAAAATTAAACAAATTTGGAACATGTCATTTGGTTGTTCAAAATTTTGTGATGATTTCTCATTTGCTATGCAATTTTTCTTACTATTGCACTGATAAGGTTTTGATATTGGCATTCACCGAGAGATGGCATAGAGAAACAAAAAATTTTCATGTCCCTGTTGTGAGATGATTATCACACTATATGATGTGTCTGCGTTGTTACATGTGCTTATAGTGGAACAATTATGTCCGAATAAAGTACTAGAATTTGAAGCGGTTTTGGAAACTTTCATTGACCTATTGTGCGTGAATCAAATTAGGGCTACATCTGAGCTTGTTGAGATACCTATACAATACATCTATGAGTGACCATCAACAACGACATCAACAAAATCAATAATGTAAGGATGACAAATATGATGAAACTAGGATGACAACACGTCAGGTAGTGCCTACCTACTACTCGACCGGCATGAAAAAATCATATCAGTTACCTGTCCCGCTACCTGTTGGATACTAGCATAAAAAAATTTGTGGTTTCTTTTTCCAACTCACAGATACCCATTAGATACCTGCAAATATTTAAAAAAAATATATTTTATGAGTTTTTAAATGAAGCTCAAATTAAATTGAAATAAATGAAGGTAATAAAAAAGAGCACAACTATATTTAAGTCTTGAAATAATTATGTCACAGAAAAACAAAGCAAGTTTCAAGCACCAAACAGAAGAAATTTGAAGGAAAAGATAATTTGGTTATAACACTGTAGCAATTATGAGCAAAGAATCAACAACCTCGCTTTGTTGAATGTGTCACTTTCCAATTCCTATACCCTCTGATGAATGAGTTTGATGGGGAAGCACAATGGTAACACAATGGTAACACAATGGTAACACAATGGTAACACAATGGTTTATATGCATCTCACAAATTACGTAATCTAAACTTTGAAAGTAATTTTGACATTTGTATGTAAATATTACAATAATGTAATTTTTCATTTCTATTTTATAAAATATCTTTAATTGATTGAGAATGTTTTCTCAAATATTACTAGCAAAATAACATCTTTGGGTAAAACCTCAAGAGCAACTTAAACCTTATAAGGATAAAAATGAAATTTCATTTCTTTAATGGGTTGTGAATACTCACAAGTACGGGTAATATGATATCTGAACCCGATTCGTTAATGAGTAAGGACTAAATTATCCGCTACCGGTTATCGGCAAGTACCTTTTACCTATGGGTAGTAACTATCCACAACGGATTTTACGGACAGATATTTGCTGGCACAACTATTTTTGTCATCCCTAAATGGAATGGAACTGATCTAACATGAGTATTCTCCTTTGTCTAGACCTTTATGAGTTATTTTTTATACAAAATGATCTAATACGGAGTGACATATTCAAAGAATAAAGACCATAGAATACAAACATGATGAAGACAATTAAGGCAATCAGTAAACATTGATTCATGTTCACAATCCATGACATTTTCCCATACTCCAATGATAACATCCCATGCCTCAATAGAATTAACTAACATTTTACACATAGCTTGCACATTGTTCTGAACGTGGAAACAAGATAGGAGATGATAACATTCAAGAGATATAGTGTCAATGACATTCATCAAAGTTAGGTCTTTGCCGCTAACCATGACATGTGAACCACCCTCATATGTAAAAAATAATCTTCTTAGCCTTTTGAATGTCCAAGTGAAATTATTTTTGTTGTTTACCTAATAAGAATACAAATGTTTCTAAGAAAACCAACCCTATTGATGTAACCCAAACTATCTAATGTAATGACAAACGATATTTGTTGGTTTTATATGTGTTATCCATTAACAAAACAATATTAAATGTATTCAATAATATATGTCCAAAAGAGGTCATTTACCACCTTAGATTCGTCAACACATATACTACAATGAATGTATTTATAACGTTTTAACATCATCATCAATTGTTGTAATTCAACTCTTGAACCTTTCAATAGTTTTTTGTAAATATATCTTCTATTATATATTTGTTTGATTGTTATCACATTACATGATAATTAATGAAATAATAACGATATTATACACCTTATATAATTTATCAAATCTTTTGTAAATATATAATATTAAAAATATTATGATATCATCAAACTATCAATATTTAAGCACAAATATTATTAATATTGAATATTTACATCAATAAATATATATCAAAATATCTTCTAAAGTTAAATTAGTGAAATATTTTAAACCTTGTTGAAATGTACTGTTAAACATATTTATCGAATCATATATGTACAGATTATATATAGAGTGCTGCCTTCAAATTTATAAAATATTAACAAATTATGTCTTAAGAATAATTCTATAGATACGTTTATTTTAAAAATAATAAATATATGATACGTGTATTAAAAAACCTACAAAACAAATATATTAGTAATAAATATTAAATATTTCAATATAAAAATTCATAAATTATGACAATTATAAGAATTAAATATATTTTTGTATTAATTCTAAGTAAAAATTGAAAATAATTTTTTTAATTTAGTCTCCAATTTTAAAAATGCATGGATTTAATTTTTTTTAACTAAATTTTATTAAATTTATTTGACATTTTAATCATATTTTAATCAAATTTCACTTAATAATAAAATAAAAATGTGTCAAAATATGATGTAAATAATTCAAATATTATCATGAAATATCAAATAAATTTAATAAAATTTGGTTGAAATAACTAATCTAGACACTTCTAAATGAAGAATAAATTAGTTTAAAATTTTGAATAGAGACTAACTTTATTTTTACTAAAAGGTAAAAACTAAAACATATTTAGATATTGTTAATATATATATATATATATATATATATATATATATATATATATTAATTACATACTTCATTTATAGATATATATAAAATATTCTAACATTACGTGTTGGATAAATAACAAATATTGAAATATCAGTGCATTGTGATAAATACTCAACACAATTATGTTATATTATTATTATTTAACAGAAAATTAGAGAGACCATTTATAGATAACATGATTTGGTCAAAGAAGCTTACGAGGGGATGTTCCACAAAAGTGACTTAGGTTAAGGTGAGGGTCCCACGTAACGAATGGAAGATTCTAGACACACTCTCTGAAACCTATAAATGCTTCACTTCCCACCACCCTGTCTCTCAATCAACAATCAACCATTTCACGTTGTTCTGATCTCCCCATTTCACACCAAACCCTTCACTTTTTTAACCTTTCTCAGTTCACGTTAACAGATGGCCGGAAAGGGGGAAGGACCTGCCATCGGAATCGACCTCGGCACCACCTACTCTTGCGTCGGCGTGTGGCAGCACGACCGAGTCGAGATCATTGCCAACGACCAGGGCAACCGTACAACGCCCTCTTACGTCGCCTTCACCGACACTGAGAGGTTGATCGGCGATGCTGCTAAGAACCAGGTCGCCATGAATCCCATCAACACCGTCTTCGGTAACTCATCGTTTTCTCTTCAAAAGTTTAACCTAAATCTGCTGGTTTTGACATGCCTTGTATATTTTGTTCTCGGTTCTTATCTTGTTTCCCTTGTACCGAATTCATGTTTCGTTCTATTCGATCACAGGGAATGTCTCTTTCTTTTTAAATTGGCAGAAAAAAAAGTGATTTTTGCTTTATGGGCTAGATTAGTATTTCTGTTGTCTTTGTATATATAAGACTGGTTTAAAAAAAACAGATATAAATAATTTAGTGTCCATGTATTAGAAATTCTTATAAATATATATTGTTTGTTTTTAATAATTTATTATTCTCGTCGTGTTTCATAAAGTAATTTGTTTTTTTTTAAATGTAATTTTCTATAAAAAAAAGTGGCAAATTACCTCTAATCCATGCCAATAAAGAACCTTTTTTAGCTAATAGTTTAAGAGTGCTTATTGTATGTGCCTTTAGTGGGAAAGTTTTGGTTGTGATGTGATGTGATTTGTGAGTTTTGTCACCGGTGATTGTTGACAAGTGGGGATTGTCATTTGGCAGATGCGAAGAGGTTGATTGGTAGGAGAATTAGCGACCCTTCTGTGCAGAGTGATATGAAGTTGTGGCCATTCAAGGTTATTGCTGGTGCTGGTGATAAACCCATGATCGGTGTAAACTATAAGAGCGAGGAGAAGCTATTTGCTGCTGAGGAAATCTCCTCCATGGTCCTAACTAAGATGAGGGAGATTGCAGAGGCTTACCTTGGGGCAAATGTGAAGAACGCTGTTGTCACCGTGCCTGCTTACTTCAATGACTCTCAACGTCAAGCCACCAAAGATGCCGGAGTCATTGCTGGCCTCAATGTTATGAGAATAATAAATGAGCCAACTGCTGCAGCTATTGCATACGGGCTTGACAAGAAAGCTACTAGTGTTGGCGAAAAGAATGTCCTGATCTTTGATCTGGGAGGTGGTACTTTTGACGTTTCTCTCCTCACCATTGAGGAGGGTATCTTTGAAGTCAAGGCCACAGCTGGAGACACTCATCTTGGAGGAGAGGATTTTGATAATAGAATGGTGAACCACTTTGTGCAGGAGTTCAAGAGGAAGAACAAGAAGGATATTAGTGGAAACCCAAGAGCCCTTAGAAGGTTAAGAACTTCTTGTGAGAGAGCAAAGAGGACTCTATCCTCCACTGCTCAGACCACTATTGAGATTGATTCCCTGTTTGAGGGCATTGACTTCTATTCGACTATCACTCGTGCCAGATTTGAGGAGCTCAACATGGACCTCTTCAGGAAGTGCATGGAGCCTGTGGAGAAGTGTCTAAGGGATGCAAAGATGGACAAGAGCACCGTTCATGATGTTGTCCTTGTTGGTGGCTCTACCAGGATTCCTAAAGTTCAGCAGCTTTTGCAGGACTTCTTCAATGGAAAAGATCTGTGCAAGAGCATCAACCCGGATGAAGCAGTTGCTTATGGAGCTGCTGTCCAGGCAGCTATATTGAGTGGTGAAGGAAATGAGAAGGTTCAAGATTTGTTGCTTTTGGATGTCACACCATTGTCTTTGGGTTTGGAAACTGCTGGAGGTGTCATGACTGTATTGATTCCAAGGAATACTACCATTCCTACTAAGAAGGAACAGGTGTTCTCTACATATTCCGACAACCAACCTGGTGTCTTAATTCAAGTTTATGAGGGTGAGAGAACTAGAACCAGAGATAACAACTTGTTAGGAAAGTTTGAGCTGTCAGGCATTCCTCCAGCTCCCCGTGGTGTTCCTCAGATCACTGTTTGCTTCGATATTGATGCTAATGGTATATTGAATGTCTCTGCCGAGGATAAAACAACTGGGCAGAAGAACAAGATTACCATTACCAATGACAAAGGAAGGTTGTCAAAGGAGGAAATCGAGAAGATGGTTCAAGAAGCTGAGAAATACAAGTCGGAAGATGAGGAGCACAAGAAGAAGGTCGAGGCGAAGAATGCTTTGGAGAACTACGCCTACAACATGAGAAACACAATAAAGGATGATAAGATCAGTTCAAAGTTATCCTCTGAGGACAAGACAAAGATTGATAATGCAATTGAGCAGGCCATTCAATGGCTTGACAGCAATCAGCTTGCAGAGGCTGATGAATTTGAAGACAAGATGAAGGAGCTGGAGGGTATTTGCAATCCAATTATAGCCAAAATGTATCAAGGCGGAGCTGGTGCAGGTGGTGATATGGATGATGGTGCTCCACCTGCTGGTGGCAGCGGTGCTGGCCCCAAGATTGAGGAGGTTGATTAAGTGGGCTATTTAGTTTTAGTAGAAAATAACGTTTCTTAAGTTTATTGGGTTTAGGTTGCTTTAGAATTTTCATTTCATTGATTCTATTGCTGTTTTCAATTAACCATTTGTATGCTAATTGAAAACTAGCTCGCATTAAATTAGTACTTTGGTTAATATAATTTTATCATCCAATTCTGCGACATGTTAGTATCAGCTGGTATAATTAGTGTTTTTGTTTTTATTTTTATTTAGTATCATACTTTAAAAAATATCAATTAATAATATTTTTAATCAATGTTGGTTGATATTATTATTTTCCGATTAATACTCGCCAAAATAAACATAGTTATGGTTGGTAAAAAAATTCTCCATCAATGTTAAATCTGATCAATCTATAACAAAAAATTACATAAATGCTATTAATTAAAAAAAAATTACAGAAGTGGATTAAAAAATAATCATATATTAAAAATATAATTATAACAATGACAATAGTAAAAATCTATTAATGTCTATAAAAACACATTATCAACTAAATCTATAATAAAATGAGTCTATCAATTTTGATTGGGAAAATCTTTACTAATGTCAATGAAGAAGTAATTCTCGTAGACCAAAAACAATTCTAATCAATGTTTGTTGAAATATAAATTTATCTAACATCATAAGAATAATGTCAATTGAAGTTACCTAGAAAATTGTGTTTAAATAAACCAAAGAAATCACTTTTATTGTCTAAAAGAATTTCTTAATATCAATTGGGAAATAACATTAGTATACTTTGATGATAAAATAACTAAGAAATAATCACAATTGACTTTGGTTTAAAACAAATTTTCTAATGACATTAATAAAACAAGCTATATAAAATTTATAAACTCCTATCTCGATTGATTATTTGATTCATCAGCCTTAGCTAAATTTCAAACTAAAATCAAATTGAGAAAAGAGAGACATAAATTTGAGAATACAATAATGTTATTTTTTTTTTAAAGATAAATGATCAAATCATTACTTCAATAAAGTGCTTTTTAGTGTATTTCTGATCTAGAACTCATTAAGCCGTTGGTGATATTATGCTGTTACTTCAATCAGATGGTTAATTCATAAAAGAATTTTCTTTCAAATCTGAAGGAAGGAATTTTTGCTTTCAAACTTGATATCGATGCATGTTGCAAAAGAAACAAAGCTAAATTGCCACTGAATCTTGTTGTGTATATTTTTAGTTTGTTTGATTATACGACTAAATTACAGGCACATTGGCTCAAGAAAAATCGGTTGATTAAGTGACCCTGTAACACTAAAGATTCATCAAGATAATATGCGTAACTTCAGAAATTCTCAAAGCAGGAACTGCATCTCGCAGTTTTTAAAATCCATCAAGATGTACTCGTACATGAATCAACTTAAAAGCTCTTAATATAGTAGTAAAAAAGTCAAAACCTGTATGAGCTTAACGGTAAATTTAATAGCCGAGACTGCACTATACCTTAAGTGAATGCCTTGTACACTACCAGTTGATCAAGAACAATACAGAGTACAAGGTTAAAAGAACTAATGATACATGTGAAGATGTGCTGTCTCTTGCTAAGTGGCTGCCATATATAGAGCTGACAAAAGAATTATACAAGAAAGTAGATCTGACCAAGGATTCTCATTTCTAGTTTAGCCCACTAGAGGTCGAAACCTTATTGATGACCTCCTCTTCCATTTCGACTAGTTGACTAAAGAACATTTCAACATCTTTTGCCTCGTCCTTGAACAAGAACCTGAATTCTTTCCACTGGTGATCACCAATGCCATCCTTCAAAGCTGGACTGGTAACTTTTGCCAGGACATCGAAACCCTTGCGATCAATGGACGTTACATATGCATCCTAATACAATATCAGTGACGTATGTTAGTCCTTAAAATCATATAACAAGAGCAGAAAAGTAAAGGAATGCATATGGTCTGGCAAGATATTTGGCAGTACATGTGTAATTGCCATCAAATTTGTCATCAGATGCGTGACATGAGTTGATAATTTGGTGTTCGCAGTTTCAATTTAATGTTGTTACGATGTATTATTCCTTCAACAGAAAACATAATTGGAGCTCTTTACAGTACAAAACTAGAAAACCAAGAGAAACTATAAAAGTTTTACCGTAGTAGTAAAAAAAGATAAACATGCATCACAAAGTTCTCTTTTTACCTCGGTACAAGGATGTTCAATAGTAATCAAGATCGTTATGTTACCTTTGCATTGGTATCCTTGAAAACAAAACAAAAAAGCATGAGCGCTGTTCGTCTCGCCTTACTTTGATTAATTCCATCAATAATCTTCGCAGAAAATTGTGCTAAATGTAAAGCATACAAGAGATGTTAATCTTTTGTTAAACAAATAAGAGATATACTACTTTTATGCATTTCAAACCAGGTATTTACCTAATGGATCGGCTTTGGATGTTTCCAAATCTTCAACATCCACATCGAATGTGCCTCCATTGCCATCAATAAAAGTGCAGGATCTGAGCATTAAACTCTTTCATTAGATGAAACAAAAGATTTGGAAGTTAGGTTTTGGAGGGGAGGACAAATTTTACTTCCAATATATATTTTATAATTTGATATTTTAAAATAAAATAAATAATATGATAGTTTACATAAACTTACTGTGTTAATCTTCTGTTTATTTTTGTAAACATGAACAATTCTCTTAATTTTAAAAAAATAGTAATCCCCTCTTCCCTCCCCCTATGTTACCCATCTTCCAAAAATAAGATTTTCCAGTTTCTTTTGTAGTTTAGTGAAGTTCCTGACCATACTCTGCGGTACAAGATGAGAATAGTTTTCTGAAATATATTAATTAGGAAGGCACTTTCTAATTAAATGACTTCAGTAAAAGCCCTGCCAGGAGATGCACGCCACAAGACCATGGTCAATCATCAACGCGATGCAGCATATTAGACCCTTTACCAGTTTTTCTTTTTTGTTTTTGGTTATTCTAATATCATTCACAGTCATCATTACATGAGTAAATTATATAATACAACAAATGAATTTTATAACCTATGAGACGCATGGAACACTGCGCACTGGTAATCTACTATTGCCAATTCACCAAAACTCTATCAACTTAAAATTTGTAAATCCAAAAATTTCACAGAAGGAAACTAAACCGAGACGGTACTAATGCTCCCTCCCACCTTGATAGTGTGTGTCTTTAAGTAATTTTAGTTTTGTTTTATAAGAATTTGATATTTCGCATGGTAAATTAGTATAACGACAACCATCCAGGAATCAGGATAGTTGCAGAGTCAACCTAGTTGCTAGAACCAGATATGAGCTTTTTTCATTCATCCAGTGAAATAACAATTCAAGATAACAATGTATGGGGGTCAACTGAAGATTTAAGATAAAGAGTTAAACATACAGGTTCTTACCTTGTTTTAAACCTAAATACAGTGTATCTTTCATTGTCTCCCAATAGACCCTGAAGATTATCACTTCTAGATGTACTGCTAGCACTAGAACTTAGTACTCCAGAAACAGTATAAGTGAACTCTTTGATTGCTTTTTGCTCAGATACTATGACTTCCTGAAGTTTTTCTGCAAGAGACTTCGCCTACACAAATATCAATAACTTGTGTAAGTCAAGAACAACTCTAGAGCAATATACAGAATTCCGTTTTTCCTTGGTGATATATGAATAGGCCACCTTTCATAATATTTACCATACCCGGTTGTAAGGCATGGTACCATCGATACACATAATTATATGTTTATGTGCAGAGAATGTCCGAAGACTAATAATTTTCAGGTAATTAAAATTTAAATATAGAGATACAGAAAGAAAACAGTGTCCTGAAAAATGTAAATTTAACCTTCCCCTCTTCCAATTAGTAACCGTCAAAATGCTTAAAAATTTATTTTATCAGAGCTTTAGATATTACAAATCATGTTCTTGGAATGAAAGCATCCATTACTAGCCCTATTGGGCTTTTATGTCCACATTTTTTCGGTATAAGAGGTAACAATTAAAACAGCAGTTACTAAAACAATTATTACGACAAAAAAACAATTACCACAATATTAAGGGTAAAATCATAAGAAAGAAATGTACACGAAAAGACCACATATAAAAATGTATCATCTTTATTAATAGTTATAGACAAGGTTGAAAATTCAATGTGACAAGCTAGTATTTTATTATGTAACTGAGACATAATGTAATCTTGTCCAATGAAGCATACACTTACATTGAACGTGTGCAACTTTATTGTTCAAATGATTGACATATAATAGTATTTAAAACTTTGAGAAAATCATCGTACCTTTACTTTTAAAAATAAGGTCTATGGATCATGAGGGAACATATATATAGATGCGATGATAAATCCATTAATTTTTTATTTTTATTTTACTTTTCAATAAGTAATTAAACTGCTCAAGATTGGCACAACAATAAAGCTTTACTGAAGCAGCAGCAGTTAATTGGACGGACATCTTAAAGACCCTGAAAAAAGCTACTATGCTAAGAGCTTAGAGATATTCAGTTAAAAAAGACTGGCATTGTTTTGCTGAACTGTATTAGTGAATCTGAAAGATAGTCAGGTATATACAATGTTGCTGTGGCATTACCTTATCTTCTTCAAGGGGAAGAACATCCCCGGATAAAGCAATCCGTGCAGGTAACTGCAGCACGTGAATAAATAAACCAATTAGCTTATACCTTTATTTCCTCTAATTATATGAGAAACTGAAAGCAGACTCTATCAGGACAAAAACCCTTCATTATTGATTTCTACAATCAAGGTAGGGTATAATGAATTTCTCATATACAGAATAATATTGTGGTTCCAAAGGAAAACATGTATATTTCATGCACAACCTTTTTCAATGATTTCAATAAGGCGCCCAGTGGACCTGGATAGGGGCTGGTCACAGCAAATGAACCACGCTCATCAATGATTGTGTTCTGCATGCAACAAAAATCAAATCAGTCACTCCTGCAACTACACAATGTATTCAGATGATTTATCAATACATAACATTAATATGGTAGCCTCCTGCATTTCTTGTTCCAAAAGCTCTACTGCATATCAGGGCAACAAAACAATAGAAACAAAAAAAAGAAAAAACATACCACATTATGCATATCGTTTTCTGGCACCCAAAGGTATGGCTGTCCCCTCCTAACTAAGTACTTAACCTTAGACGTATAGATACTCCCTTTGCTGTTGAAATCATACAAAAATAGCAAAGACCCAATCAGCAAAGCACTAATGCAACAGAATCATCACATGACATGCCCCTTAAATTTTGTCTCGTGCAAGTGACGGAATGAAAGAAAACCTTATGGAGCATGTTAAGTTCTCCTAGCAGTTAAGGTTTGGCTTGATATATGTGAGTTGCAAATAGAGAAGAGAGAGATTAAGGAAAAAAGGGGGGGAAATGGGTACCTTCCTTTGGCATCTGCTTTGATAGTATTGAGGGAACCTTGCCAGTTTGATGCCAATACATTCTGCATGCATTACAGAGTAGCATATGTAAGTTGAAGTGATACACAGAAGGAAGGTATGAAATTTGAAGAGAAAGAAAGAAAGGAATAACCTTGCATTTCTCAGCGAATGAGAAGAGCGTTGATTTGTTGCGTTTCATGGGTCTGAAGTGTGCACACCACCTGCTCGATTAAACGATTCTATTATATTACGTTAGGCTGCAACCAATGCATTCGGGTCTTCAACAAATTTCTTTATGTGTTTGAACAACATTTATATCAAACAAAATTCTTTATGTATAAAATAAATAACAATTTTTTGGGTATCAGATCAATTTCACATAATAATTTGTTTATAAATTTTGGAAATTCGTTTGTATAATTAACTTAAAATAAATATAAAATATTTAAAAAAAAATTGACAATTAAAATAGGAAATCTAATTATTTAATAGATTGATGGAAATAACTTGATTGATCGTAATTAAATATGTTAAATTACTATATGCTGTATAACAACATTAAAAGTTATGAAATCATCTTAGGTTAAATTTAAATTTAATGTAACTTCGGTAGGATAAGATTATAATTTGGTCATGTTTTTTAAGTTGACTAATTTTCATATATTTATCATTTGATTGAATAAATTTGTTATACTTTAAAAGTAGTATAAAACGAAAATAGTATCTTTAACTCAATTGTATTTAAATACTGTCGTAATGGATATAAAATAGATTATATATATTATTTCCAATGATCCTAAGTCCTTTAATATAGTAAAGTGAATTTTCTATAAGCATGATAAAGAAAATGGAAACTTTTTTATTGTTGTGACCTTTTAAATCAATTAGTGTGGTTGAAATATATTGATTTAATATATTTTTAGTTTTTAAACTCTAATATAAAATTAAAATTTATTTTTATTTCAAAATTTAAAATCTTTTTAGTCTCAATTTTATAAAAATTATATCATTTTAAAAAAATTTAAAAATATATATATATTACATTTTTTAATAATAACAAATTTTAATATCGCATTAAAATTTAAATACTAAAAAAATATTTAATTCAATTCTATCTTGTCAACATTATAATTATTTAATTTGTTTTAAAATTTGTAAATTAAATAACAAAATAAATGAATATTTTATGATCATAAATATGATTTTAAAATTAAAATAATTAATTGGTTTTAAAAGTTAAACACTGAAAAAAGTATAAAACGTTAAACTGAGATAATAAGGAGTTTGGGAACTGAAGTCTTTGAATCTGAGAAGTATAACCCTATTTTCCACAAACAAAAATGATAGAATTTCATCCGACTGGCTCAGATCTTTTGAAGCTATGGATTCCTTGCTTAGATTCCTCATATTTATAGGACTAAATTCTTTTCTTATGGTACTCACCAAAAACTGTTCACAAACAAAATATACGATGATTCATCATCTCCTTTGCCATCAAAACGATGAAAAAAAGGATAAATTTGTTTATTAAACGCAAAGAAAACATTTGGTTCTTGTATTGTTTTATTGTTGTCCGAATTGCCCAAACCTTGATTAAGCAATTGTTCCTTTTTAATTGTATATGTTTCTGATTTCACACTAGTAAATTTGATAAGCAGAAGTGATGAATTCCTCAGAAGAAGAGTGTTGTGGGTTGGAGATGATGCAGAAAGATCTTCATGCCACTTTTCTTGAGATGATGTACTATTTGCTCCCATCTCCGTACGAGAGCCAAGAGACCAATCATCTCACTCTCGCTTACTTTGTCATCTCTGGCCTTGACATTCTCAACTCTCTCCACTCTGTACACACGATCGTCCTATTCCTATGTTTTGTATTTTTCTATGCTGTTATTGTTGTTATATTCCTCATTCATAAGTAATCTCTTATTTTTCTTGTCTTTGAGTGATTTAAGGTTGCAAAGGATGCTGTTGTCAGTTGGGTTTTGTCTTTCCAAGCTCATCCTGGTGCCAAGGCTGATCTCAATGATGGTATCCGTGCCATTGCCCTTGTTGGCTCGATTTGATCTCCAAAGTTCGATTTTTTAATTGACCATTTGAAGGGTTTTGCTGCAGGACAGTTCTATGGCTTTCATGGGTCCAAAACTTCTCAGTTTCCTCCAGATAAGAATGGGGTATGGAAAAAGTTTAAAATTTGGAAGTGCCAAAAGTTTTTGTTGTTGTTGTTGTCGAAGGATCCTGATTTTTTTCTTTTGTTTTCATTTTTCCTTTCTTTTTTAAGATTTTGATTCACAACAACAGCCACTTGGCCAGTACATATTGTGCCATTGCCATATTGAAAATTGTTGGCTATGAACTATCCAACCTTGATTCTGAACCACTTGTGTCTTCTATGAGGAACCTTCAGCAGCCCGATGGAAGGTATGGTTTTGAAACTTGGATTGCACCCATGGCCTTTAAGCCTATGCAATGCTGAAATATGTAAAATTCAGAGCTGTAGCTGTTTTTCAATTTGTTTATATATGATTCAACAGGCTAATGTCAATATTTATGCCCTTAATACTTTAGTGGAATTACTTCTAGTTCCTATTCCTTATCTCTCTGTTCTATTTTGACAGTTTCATTCCCATTCATACTGGAGGAGAAACGGATCTTAGATTTGTATATTGTGCTGGTAAGAGGAATAAAGTTATGAAATGCCGGTGCCAGCTTCTTGATTGATTAGTAATTCTGGAATTGATATATCATATTTTCTGAACTGATTGACTGTATTAGCTGCCGTCTGTTTCATGCTGAATAACTGGAGTGGCATGGATAAGGAGAAAGCCAAGGATTACATATTACGCTGCCAGGTATGTGAACAGTGAACCTAGTGTGTCAACTGGTGACGGAATAAGAGAATTATATCAAGATTGTACTGTATTCTGGACATATATGTTTGTTGAAAATGTGTGTAAATTAATGAAATTGATACGTTTTTTGTTCTTTTCTATTTTCTAGTCATATGATGGTGGCTTTGGATTAGTTCCTGGTGCGGAATCTCATGGTGAGTTAAAATAATCATTTATCTCAATGTAGATGTGATTCCATGTTGTGAGTAAGGGATTGCAATGTTGTTAGTTGCATCAAGTATGGGAATCTTTTCCCTGAAGTTTTCATTTTTTTTATCTGTTGTCCATCACAAGATAGATTTGTTTGGTATATGTTTTACATTGGTCTTGGTTGGTAGGAGGTTCAAATCTGGGGTTTAATACTGTTACTATCTGACAAGTAGATATTTTCTTTTTAGAAGACACTTTTCATAAGATTTAAAGTTGTTTCATGACATCCTACACATTACTTATGAACTTCAAGACTGTAATGTAAACTCTTTACCACTTGGCATATTTTTCCTTCTTCTCCTTTGGTTGGCTGGACAGAGTGGTTTTGATGTTTGAGATTATCTTTCGTTAAAATATTGATTGTGGAATACCTTCTGAACTAGCCTTAATAGTTGTATCCATAGTTTCTGTTATCAATAAGGTTATTGAATTGCAGTTGAAGCAGTGAATCATAAATCACATCCAATCTTAACGAAAACAGCTTGAAATTTATCATATAATTGATATATAGTAGCCAAATGTAATAATTTTAAACCAGAAAATGTCCAAAAGCCTTACCAAAACCAAATCCTGAGTAATAACTTTGTGTGAAGCCTTTGGTTTATACGACTGAAAAACAGAGCAATGGTACAACCAAATACACTGTTGTGGATAAAATGAGATAGTGAAACCCTTATCTCATAAGATTGAAAATAGGATATCTGAACTATCAATTCAACAGGGTTTCTTTAGTAACGCTCATTTAGTTCCTCATTTGGCAATCTCATTTGAATTTTTCATTTGTTTTATAAGAAAGGGTGAAAAGAAAAATTAGAATATAAAAACTAATGAATATATAAACCTTTTGTAATTCATAATCGCCATAAGGAAAAAATTGCTCTGATTCATTCATATGCTGCAAGACTTGTAATTTGTACATGATGTTGTTTGAACCATATCAAATTGCACAATTCAAATCATGAATCATATGATTCTAATAGCTGTGGTCAACATTTCTTTTTTACTCTTGGAGTAGGCCTGTCACCGACCATTTGGTTGTTGTCCTGCATCCATGTGTTGACCATGTTAATACTTGTACGCTTACAGGGTTCACATTGGCCTTTTAGTTATGTTACAGGCACAATGAGAACAACCTGCCCATGCCCCATTCAAGTTAAATTTTATGCTCCTTGATGATTCTGGCTCATGCCTGTAGTGTTTTTATGTTCTGAGCATGTAACTTGAGAGTTGGTCTTATCCATTTTTATTGTTTGTTATTTCTCAAATGATATTTATCAACATTACTTATTTTAGTGTCACAGGAGGTGGAACTTACTGTGCTATTGCATCTCTCCGGTTAATGGGACTCATTGAAGATAATATTCTCTCAAGTTGTGTTTCGTCAACTTTAATAGATGTGCCATTACTGCTGGAGTGGATCTTGCAGGTTTGTATATATGAACTTTTTCAATATATGGGGATTAGATCGTGTTAGTTTGTGAACAAAAACATTGGATCAAAGGTCATTTTCAAGAGCTGTTTGTTCTTAAATTCCGTTCAAATAATGGCTTCGTTGTTTTTCTTTATTTATCACTTAAAGCTTGGTTAACTTTTAGTGTTTGAATTGGTTATCCATGGATGGATCAAGATTCTATAATTTTCTTCCTTTCCAGAGGCAGGGAATTGATGGTGGATTCCAGGGTCGACCAAATAAATCTAGTGATACATGTTATGCATTTTGGTAAGCCAATTATGCCTCTATGATTTCTTTGGTATTACAATGTCTGTGAGTTTTCAAAGCCTTGACATGCATAATATATTTTTGTTAGGATTGGAGCCGTTTTAAGGATTCTAGGGGGCAGCAACTTTGTTGACCATAAGGCTCTACGTGGATTTTTGCTGTCTTGTCAATACAAGGTACAACATCTAACAATCAGTTTTCCATGCACTGTGTTGTACGGTTTTAGGGGGAGGAAATTTTCTGTTGTATGTTAGATTTATAGCACAAAAATGATAGGAAATGAAAGGTAAAGAAATTGTGATAGTGATTTAAGTTAAACTTGATTTTTTTTAAACTATTAAGGAAGACAAAAGTTACAGCCTTCTCAATTTTTGTGTTTTGTTTCCCTATCTTGTCTTTCTTGTACTTCTATGTTAGGATTATACTATTGTCAAAATTATAGTATGTTATGCGCTCTGTGGTTTGATTATAGTTGAAAAAAAATTGTATCAATTGACAATTCCTTTGTTCTGGGTTAGATTAGATGGTCAGCCATATTTTCTATCAAAGAAGTAGAAGAGTATGTATGACATCCGTGATGTTGAAAGAACAAGAATATTCAGTTGGTCAATTTAGTTTTAGAAGGGAAAGGAGAGGGCTAGTGTGTTAACAAAGAACAAGGGAAGATGGGTAAAATCTCTATTTATACTGACTATCTTGTTGTCTTTTTTATTCCTAGTTTGTGCAACTGCTGTATCTTCTTTATACTTTGAGTTTTCTTTGGTCCCCCTCTCCTAGCATAAAAGAATTCATAAAAAAATCTCCTTCACTTATTTTATTTGCACTCTCAAACTTATGATTTTGCAATCATTTTACCTCTTCAATTACCTTCCTCTCAAAAATATGTAGTAGCATATTTTTTATTTATTTAAGATACAAAGAATCAGGAAGTTCGTATTTTAAATCCTTCAAGTTATGATCGTGTCATGCACATGGATTTGGTACTTCTGGTGGTACTAGCCCACAAAAATAATAAGAATCTAAAGCTTGTAATTGCCAAGCTTGTAACTATGGTCAGACAGAGTTATTTTGGTTAGACAAGGATTGTGGTTTAGTGAAAACAATTGCATTGGTACTTTTAGTCCATTCATGGAAAATAAAAGGCAAGTTTACTTAACAACTGATGAAATAAGGGTTTTATATTCATCTCAAGATCACTAGTTGTTTTTGTTTCCTTTTCTACTTTCAGGTCTTATATGAAGGGTTAAACTATTTATGTGATATCAGTAATTAAACTAGTTTAGAAACTCATATCTTGGTGCTTATATAATTTTTGTTTTTGACCAGTATGGTGGTTTCAGCAAATTCCCTAGAGAGTATCCAGACCTGTACCACTCCTTCTATGGATTTACTGCTTTCAGCCTGTTGGAAGAATCTGGCTTGAAATCACTTTGTTCTCAACTTGGAATTACTGAAAATGCTGCAATGGGACTCTAACTTAGAATTATAAATGGATGCACTTTTCTACCTAGCATTTCTTGAGAATCATATCAAGCTCTCAGCACAAGTGCACCCTTGTTGGATCTTTCTTTTCTATTCCTTTTCAAATATAAGTGGACTGCAAATTTTCCCTTTCATCGGTTGCATTTGTGAGCATTAATTCTCGTTATTGGTATTTTCTGCTTGCTTTCTATTTGTTTTATTTACTCTTGGACGAAGTTTATTACTGAATATGCTAATCTGAAGTTCGGCGTGATGATTGATAAATGTAACATTTTGTAAATAAAAAAATGTAAATTTATATCAGTGAGTCAAATAATATGCTGATGACTGTGACTGTTTAGATAAGTTCAGTCATAACTATGTATGGATAATTTTTCTCACTGAAGTTTATGATTGCAAATTATATTGTTTCGGATTTGTTTTAAAATAAGAAAAATGAAGACAGAAGTTAATATAACTACAGTCAACTTTTACACTATAATTATGAATCTGTTTCTCATTAATTCAACCATTTATTTCAGATAATAAAGTGAGTGATCTCTTGATGAATATCTGCCATTTTTGTCACTAGTCTTCAATGGTACATAGTGCAAGTAATTTACAAGTTTGGCTATATATGCATACAAGTACATATTTTTCAACTAAAAGTTGTCATCACAATATAAAAACATCAACTAAAGCTGCACTTGTCTATAGAATAAAACATCTCTGTTGCTGGAGAATCTTGAGAGAAAAAAAGTAGTATATTCTAGTAAGTTGGCCAAGCATGAAAGTACTGTTTTACTTTTTTTCCTGTTCAATGCTTCCAAGTTCCAACTATTTTCCACTTCAGTAATAAATAGAATAACTATTTTTTTAAAGATGATACAAAAGGGTGCTGTCTGAATTGTATGTTTGGGGAAAAAAGTCTTTAAAAACGCGTCTTTTAAGGCATTTTTTACTATGGGAGAAACTGATGTGAGACTTGTGAGAAAGGCAGTAGTGAACAGAGTTTCATTCAACAACAAAAAGAAAACAATGTTAGATTACTGGTAGTGTTCATATATTATTACTTTCTGCGATAAACTGAGATTATTTTAATGAAAAAGTTACGGTTTTTCATATTTTTGAATTAAAAATTAAATGTATCTGTAGCTAGTCAATCTCACACCACCCAAACTGAACCAAACTATTCATCATTAAATCTAAGTCAGACAGAACCACTTAGTTCTGATTAATTAAGATATTTTCCTCCTTTACAACCAAACAAATCAATATTCATTCTCCACTTGTCATTCATATGTGTTTAAGGGAGGCAAAGAAGCATCTCTTGTTGGATCGAAAAACTAAGAGCCAGCATAGATAGTATCAATGAATCTAAAAATCTAGATATTATTAGGATTTCAGTTGGAGGTTAATGGCTGATAAATATATGCGTGTACCTTCAATATGCAACACCAAAAGATGCCACAAAAGGTTATGCTTAAAGCCATATTATATTCTTTATTCTGACCTGTTATGATTCTTCAACGTGGTGGTGGGGTTAGAAAAGATGGCACTTTCGGTCATGACCCACGACACATATTCACGGGCAATTACACCCCTTCTTGTTGTTTACCCAAAAGCCACAAAATCTGAGTCTCTCTTTTACAAATTTGTCACTTACTTCAGTGGTGAATTGGTCATTGTCTGAGCAACGTGCACATTAACCCTGCCTCACCACTGCCCTTTCTTTCATCTTCATCAAATTTTGATCAAACGGCACATATATTTTATAAAAGATTAGTGGGAAAATTGAGTTGCAGACAAATATGCAGAAAAACATGACATGGGACAACGTTGGTTTAACATATGTCTCATTCACTAGCAGGCTAATAAAGAGAGGAGGGAAAAAAAATGGCATGGCCCTGAAACAATTATTTAACTTACCCTCACAAGACAGCTACTTGGATGCAAAAGGTTGGACCATTTCATACCTCAAAACCATTGAAATAATTACCATGATAAAATGGAAAAAAAAATGCCATTGGAATTTTAATTACACAACAGAACAAATGCTTTCTGCGAAACTGATTACACAAATCATACCATGTCATTAGATTTTAGATTTTTTGAGATATCCACCATGACATGACATATTCAACAACTTTCGTGAAAGTTCTTCTTGATCTTTCTACCCCATTTCTCACTAGCTACTAAAAGCTTTGTAAGGTTTAGCAAAATGAAATAAAAATAAACTTTCCAATTTCATGAGACCCACCTTGAAGCATTTATACTCCGAAAATATGGTCCCCTATATGGTTATGAAACATTGAGAGTAGTACATCTCACAACTGGCTTAGCAGATTAAACCATAACTGCATACAACTCAAGGGGAGAAACAAATTCCCATTACGAAAAAGGTGGGACTGTTCAACATGTAATTAGAAAGATTAATGAAGAAATAAACTCATAATTGACTTGCCAGAACTTTGGTGTTAGCTGGTTTCTTTCTTCTTGTTTGGTGAATGTGTCATGAAGCTAAGGGAAGTACCTGTGACGTGCTTGAATGGTACTGTGGTGGACGAGGATGGTGATGATTAACCTCTTTTTCTGTTTTCTTGTCAACAACTATTGTGATGAAAGAACCTTCAAGCTCATCTCCATTTCCCTTATTTTCATCTTGTTCTAGTTTTCTTCTAAGCTTCTCTTCTGCTTCCTGTAAGAACTTGAATTTTGGAGGAGGTGAGGACTTTAATCTGTTGAACTCAGCATCAGTTACTGTTTCAAAAAGAGGGTTGAATCCTCGCTGGTTATAGGGACTGATAGGAGTAGCAAAAGGAGGAGTGAAAAAAGGTGGAGAAGTAGTAGGTGTCATGTATGGTGTCTCCACAACTAGCAAATCACCCAAGCTTCTACCCCTTGAACCTTTTCCACTCTTGTCACACTTAGATTTTCCATCATCAGATTCTAAATCTTCCTTTGATTCTTCTACTATGGTGAACAAGAATCTTGGAGGACCTAAAAGATCCTGTTGCCTCATGTATTCTGCATCGATGCCATCCTCCCCAAAGGGTTTGAAAACAAAGTCCTTGCCATTATGAGAATGAACTTGTTCTGGGTCATGAACAAGGGTGTCACCAATTCTCATTGAAGAACAAAGCTCAGGAGGAGTGAAACTTGTTTGCCTCAAAGAAGATGATGATGGCCTTTTCCAACAAAACATGTAGAACAATTCCTTCACTGGGTTGCCATAATCATTCTCAATCTCTCTGTTGGTTATCCTCTTCTTCCACCACAGCAGATAGTAAACCTCAGCTACCAGAGCCAACAAAAGGCAACCAAAAATAATACTGAGACCAAGACCTACGCTACTCAAGGATTTCATCTTTGTCCTCAAATCACATTGAAAACACTTGATTGAACTTCCACAACCACCAAAGATGCTTAAAATATATCTAACCCAGAAAATCACATCAAACACACAAGTGGGCTACAAAAAACAAAAGCAAAACCCAGTTTCAACAAAGAGAATACACATGTTTATGAGCAATTAACTGAAAATCTCTCGAGACTTTATCCTCAGATTCCGAATTCAAGCACTGAAATTGTGGATAATCTTTTCAGTAAAAAAAGATTAATGTATGAATGTAATACTGTAACTACAAATGACAACATCCCCTCCCACCTTAAAGCATGGCATAATGACAAACCTTGGTTGCAAACTGCAAAGCCTCTCAGAACAGCAATCTGCTAAAAGAGCCAACCAACCAAAAAGCTCCCTTTTCTCTTGAAAGCAACACATGCAAATCACAAGCATAATAAGCCCATGGGCCCTTGGCTTTAACCTAACCCCATTTGGGATTAAACACACTGATATGGATTAGTCTCATCATTAGCCTCAAAGAATGTGATAATGCAAAACTTTTAAACAGGTGAAAACAGAACAATGGAAAGGAAAAGATCCCCTACACCATAAACCACTATGAGGATGCACCAAAACCAGCAGCCAGAAAATAACTACAGAGAGTGAGCGTGTACCTGTCTGGCTTATGGTTGGAGGGTCTCGTCCTTCTAGAGAGGCTCACATGGGATCAGAAAATTAAAAAAAAAAAAAAAAAAAAAAAAAAAAAAAAAAAAACATGAAAGTGACATGTCACTATGTCATTGCACATCCATTGTAACTTGTAACATAAGATCCTTCAAACAAGTGACGATTTCTTTTCTCCCATGACTCTAGTTGGTACTACTTGGTGTTATGTTATGCACTCACTGACAAATCGGGGGGACAATGATTCCATATCTGAAAGGTTCCTCCTATTATGCTTGGGTTTCTAAAATCTTAATCATGTTTTTTCTTGAATGCTTTTACTATACCATGATTTTTTGTTTTGACAGAAATTGTTATTTGAAAGTCAAGCAACATTTCTTCTCTTTCATTCTTTTTATAGATCATGATGCTCCGATGCAACAACTTAAATGGCGGCAGAATTTATTAAGGGGCTGTTAATTAAATAAATTATTGGAAGAAAAATACCAAGAAATTTATAAAAAGATTATTCTAATTTATAAAAAGATCTATGACACTTCAACTTAAAATAATAAATTTGTAAAGATATTTTACATGTTAAAGCATTTTTTTTCATCTATGTCATTTAAACTTAGGGTTAAATATGTTTTTCGTCCCTTAAGTATCACACGTTTTTTGTTTTAGTCCCTACTCAAAACTTTTATGCTTTTTAGTCCTTATAGTTTTGAAACTCTAAGTTTTAGTCCTTCAAATTGAACAGTGTTAAGTTTTAGTAGAGGTGGCAAACGGCGTTGCCACGTGAAATACCAGCTGCCCTCTTCTCTTTCTGCCACGTTCTTGATTGAAATCAAATTAACAATTAGGTTCTTAATTGGGCAATTAGGGTTCTTAATTGCGCAATTAGGGTTTGAGTAGGGACTAAAACCAAAAACGTGTAATACTTAAGGGACAAAAAAAGTATTTAACCCTTACACTTATACCTAAATTCATTAGGTTATTAACAACTAAGATTTCAAGCTAAGTATGATATTGAAAAAAAAACAAGGAGTAAAATTTTGAAAAAATTATATAAAAATTATTTAATATTTGATATTTCCAAAGAGTAAATATGATATCTTATATCACTTTTTCTATCAATATACGAGA